TGCTGCTGTTGTTGCTGCTATTGTTGCTGCTGCTGCTGTTAATGTTTCCAGACAATTCTCCCATCCTTGAAAACATTTCCACGGAGTTAATTTGAAATTGAAAGCAGCGATGCGTGAGAAAATAGATTTTAAATTTCAAACTTTCCCTTCCCGTCCGTAGCAGAAACAGAAAAAAAAATTTCAGTTCGACTTTGAGTATTCTCCCACGTACTGAGCCGTTTCAAATTCTGTAAACTTTTTTTTTTTTTTTCAAACTCAATCTACCACTAACTTTGACGTAACTCTCCCGCCAAATACAACCTCAAAATTACCCAATGAACTCAAATTACCCCAAAAAACAATATTTCTCTACCCGAAATAAAATTTAAATACTGTCCTTCCGGTGTAATGAAATCAGTTATTAATGCTTCTATCGTTTCCATGTCAGAATAAAACATGGAGATTCATTTTCGCGCCAAAACTTAATCAAATAATTACTATTTTCCCGATTAATAAGCATTTTCTCGCCAAAAACACAATTTAAAATAACCAAAAAAAGATATTTTCCCGTTAAAAATCACTCGAACATAGAACATCATATCGACATTTTCTCAATGGAGAGCAAGATTGGACGAGTTGTTTGTGGAAAGCAAAAACTTGGCGCCAATTTACCTGAGAAGAAGATGTCTGCCTGCGAATTGTTACATCGTAAAGTGCATACTTGAGTACAGATGCCCTTTCAACGTAAGTGCACGCGTACTAAGATGTATGTGTGTATGTGTATGTGTGCGTGTGTGCGCGCTATGATACGTGTGTGTATTTATATATGTGTGTGTGTGTGTGTGTGTGTGTGTGTACGTGTGCTTGTGTTTCATGTGTGTGTGAGTCTACATATGTTTGACGATGAAGATGACGATGAAGATAATGATGATGACGAGAATGATGATGATGTTGAAACGAATAAAATATTTTATATTTTATTCGACAGAATAAAATTAAATAGAAATTTTAATTTTTCCCACTCACTCGCTCACTGACTCACTGACTCAATCACTGACTCACTGACTCACTGACTCACTGACTCACTCACTCACTCACTCACTCACTCACTCACTCACTCACTCACTCACTCACTCACTCACTCACTCACTCACTCACTCACTCACTCACTCACTCATTCACTCATTCACCCATTCACTCATAAATTAAGAAAAGCTTGAGAGTTCAGAAAAACGAGCAGCTGTACCTGATG